CCCGTCCCGTCCCGTCCCGTCCCGTCCCGTCCCGTCCCGTCCCGTCCCGTCCCGTCCCGTCCCGTCCGTTGCATTCCGTACTGACCCATTCCGTCGCGTCCCACCAAAATTCGAGCCCTCCTGGCCCATCTCAGGTCCTCCGGTCCCGTTCTGTCCCAACCCACGCCTACCCGTTCCGTTCTGCCCCGTCCCGACACGCCACGTTTCTCCACGCTACTTCATCTCGTCCCTTGGCTGCCCTTCCACGGCCCGTCCAGGCTTTCAAGATTCGTTCACAACACGAACTTCTCGCTTCGCCCGCGAGGGCCGCGATGACGCGGGCTTCCATGACCCGTTCACAAACTTTCCGCTTCGCTCGCGAGACCGCGCTCGGATCGCTTCAACTCCTGCCTCCAGTAGAGGGCGCTAAGGAGTAAGCTGGTGACGAAGCGGTGCCGCAATTAATCCGGTAAGAAGCAACTCCCTTCCCCCTCCTTCAGGCGCCTTTTCCCTTCAACCCTCTGCTTCCGCCCTTCCCCTACGGCGGAACGGCAGAGAATTTCGGACCCAGATTTAATTTAGATAACGGACGCAGACTGCTGCGCTCCTCGCGGCGGCGACGGCAACTAAACCGGGAACTGCGGCGCCAATGGGAAGTAGTTGTGCGTGTGTTCCATACAGCTGTGAACTTATTGTTTGCCTTCTTTTGTGAATGCTAAAATTTCAGATTACGTACTTCGTTTTAAAGCCTGTGGACCTGCATTAACTTTCACTTTGTTGGATTTATAACCAGGAGGCACGTGTGAACATTTGACATCAATTTATTCTGATAAAATTTAATACGATATTTGTTTGGAGAGTTTGAGACATTATACTTAAACAAAAGAGTGAGGGAGAAGATCTGGATATAAAAAGTATAAATAACATTATGCATCCGATTGAATGTGCGCAGGCCGAGAAAACGTTTGCTTTGTTCTTCAAAATGTGTGTGTCTCTTGACTTGCATTTTGAACAAAATAAAATGTTTTACTGCTATTTTTGCTCTGCCCACTCAGTGCACTTGCGATGTACTCTCAGTGCTGGTGCTAGTGAATGTAACCATGCAAATAAATTGACTGTCTTCCATCTAAAAAGCAGAGTCTGAGAAAGCGATGAGAATCGTTATGTGAACCTTTCAGTAGCCTCTGTTCTTCTTATAGACTGAAGAGCCAGACACACTGTGTATCGTATTAAAGAGATCTGAAACGAATCAAAATACGGCGCTCTAGTCTGCAACGAGTCATATAGATCATCAATAAGACAACCAGCGTCTGACACAGTTGTTAGATCTGTTACTGCGGCTACAATGGCAGGATACCACGATTTAAGTCACTTTGAACGTCGTATTATAGATTATTAACACAAAAGAGACGGGGTAATAGCATCTCCGAGGTCGAGATGAAATTTGAATTTTCCCATATGACTATTTAACGAGTTAACCGTGAATATCTGGAATCCGATAAAACATCAAACCTCCGTCATCGCTGAGGATGCAAATAGATCATGCAAGAACCGGACCGATGACAACTGATGATAATCATTTCACGTGACAGATGTGCAACCCTTCCGCACATTGCTGTAGATTTCAAAGCTGGTCCATCAACAAATGTCAGCGTGCGAACCATTGAACGTGACATTCTCAATATGGGGTTTCGGAGCCGAAGGCCCACTCGTGTACGTTTGATGACTGCACGACACAAAGCTTCACGCCTTGCCTAGGCCGGTGAACACCGACATTGGACTGTTGATGACTAGAAACACGTTTCCTAGACTGACGAGACTCGTTTCGGATTGTTTTGAGCAGTTAGACGTGTGCGAGTAGGGCTACAATCTCATGAATCCATGAACCCTGCATATCAAATAGGGACTGTTCAAGTCAGTGGAGTCTCTGTAATGGTTTGGGGCGTGTGCAGTTGGAGTGATAGAAGACCCGTGTTACATTTAGATACGACTCTAATAGGTGACACGTACGGAAGCGGCATGTCTGATCGCCTGCACCCATTCATGTCCATTGTACATTCTGACAGACGAGCAATGCCAGCAGAACCACGCGACAGTCCACACGTTCAGAATTGCTAGAGTGGCTACAGGAACACCCTTCTGAATTTAAACACGTCCACTGGCCACCAAAATCCCACGACATGAACATTATTGAGCATACGGAGATTCCTTGCAATGTGTAGTTCAGAAGAGATATCCACCCTTGTACTCTTACGAGTTTTTTGGACAGTCCTGCAGGGTTTATGGTGTTAATTACCTCCAGCACTAATTCAGGCATTAGTTGAGTCACGTTGTGTTGCAGCACTTCTGCGTGCTCGTGGGGGCGTACACGATATTATGTAGGAGTATTTATAGGAGTATATTTATATTATGTAGGAGGTTTTTTTTTGCCTCTTGCCTTTTGTATTTTGAGCAGTTTATAGTGCTACCACATTCTACGAAATAATTCCAACAAAATACTAGAAAAATATTTGTAAACAATAAAGTTTAATAAATCACAAGTACATATTCGTTATTTGTGTATGTAAGAAGAGGTTATTTGTGTATTATACAAAAAATCCACGAGTTTTAAGGAAAGTGGGCAGGAACGCCAAACTCGTAAGGTAAATTGTAAAGACCACCCTTTTCGTCAGTGTACCTACATCAAGAAAACCGAGTACAACTGCTAAAAATAATAAACGTTGAAGCTGAAATTATATTCATGCTTTTTCAGTAACCGTGTGTCCTTCTCCTAAAATGTGACACTCTTCGGTTATATTGCTCGTACTGTGATTTTGCGTTTCGTTTCTCAGATTGAAATAGTCGCCACCCGTATGACTCGAACGCGCATTGGTGTGGTTGATTATTTTGTTATGTGGTCATCCGTTCCGTACATGGAATGCGTTTATATATTGCAAAAGATGGCAGCGTTACTTCCTGATAAAACATGCGATTCGGTGTCAACGTACACTTCAGATGGCGGGAGTTTCCCCACCAGGATTTCAGTGCCAGTAGGACATCACTCCAGCTACTAATGTAGAAACAAAAGTATTTGAATACCGTAACAGGGTCCGTACCGTATCCAAGTATTGTATGCTTGGAGTTAGTTATATTGCTGTAACCAATATTATATTTGTGGCGTTGAAAGGAAAGTATCTCACATCCAATACACATTGAATGCTACACCCAAACCGTTTACATTGACGTTGAATCCAAATATATTGATATTATCGAATGGCTTATGATATGCATATTTTATGGAGTCGTGCTCTCAATAATTATTATTTTATAGTTTTTAATGTTTCTAATAAGTAGCTCCAGTTGGCAACATAACAGATATGCTCGTTAGAGGAGGCACAGTGTGCTGGCTAGTGTTGGTGTGATTGACAATGTTCCAACATGAGTGCATATTTTACGTACATTTTGAAAATAAATGTTGATGGAAATAATTGAATGTGTTGAATTGTAATAATAATAGTAATAATAATAATAATAATAATAATAATAATAATAATAATAATAATAATAATATTTCGCGTATAATTGTATTTTCAATGTTGAATTTTTAGATCTTAATTCTGTGGTGAGTGAGAAGTTGCTGCTTTAAATAACCTTAAAGACGATATTTAGAAACAAACTTTCGAGATCATAGTGATGAGGAAATTCCCATACTATAGAGAGGAAAATGGTCTAAAAAGACTGATTGGTGATATAAAGAATCTAATGCACTTATATATATTAGAACCAAATATTTCGTGATTCCTTTTCTGTAGAGAGGAAAGATGAAGAGAGAGACTAAGTTGTGATATTTGTCTATGGTGATTTGACGAAAAGAACCTAAAACACAAATTTTAGGACCAAACATTGCAGATTATATTATTAACATGATTTCAATTGTATAGGGAGTAAAAGTAAAAACACAATCTGATGGTTGATGTGAAGAAAATAAACTTAAATACGTATTTTAGAACCAAACATTCGGTGATTCTTTTCTGTAGAGAGGAAAAGTGATGAGGGAGATGAGGAGAGTGTGATGATGAGAGCTGTCCGCGTGGCGCCACGTCGAAGGCTCAGGTGGCGACGTTTCAAGCAACATATCGCTGCCTTCTTCAGGCCTGAGGTGAGAAGACCGCGATTTGTTGGTCAGCACCTCAGCGTTCGATGCGGCGTCTCTCGTACAGCTCAGATCTCGACTCCCACTGAATCGTGACGTTTATGTGTGTGTTGCAGAGCTGCTGCACCGCGTGGTGCTTCTGAGTGGGTCGGCGCTGAGCCCCTGGGCGCTGCAGCGGGACCCGCTGTTCGTGAAGCGCAAGGTGGCGGAGCAGACGGGCTGCCACGGGGACCTGCTGGACGACGACCTGGCGCCGTGCCTGCGCGCCAAGCCCCTGGCCGACCTCCTGGCCGTGCGCATCGACGCCCCGCGCTTCCTGCCCGGCTTCGCGCCCTTCGTCGACGGCACGGTGAGCCCTTTCTCCCGCTGCCCCCCCCCAACCCCCACACACGGTGGGTAATCACTCCGGAGCGCGTTCTACGCGGCACCAGTGTGCGTCGCGAACAACGCCACCACAGCACGGGCACTTCGTTTGAGAAGCCAGACCACACGCTGGGCGCCATTTTTAATGCAGAGTGAGAAGTGTTCAGAAACATTTTCAAAGCAATGCAAAGTGACAGTTTCCAACGATAATTAACCAAAAATTACATGATGAAGGTGTATCAAACAAAAATCATACGATGCCTTCTAACGAGGTGTTTGGTATCCGACTGCATTTAAAATTCTCGCTAATATTGTGAAGTAAACTGATGTGTGAAGCTCATTAGCTGAAGTCGGATACGATACGCAAGAACCCCCCCTCCTTTGGTAAACACAAAGCTACCCAAATAACGACTTACAGCCAGAAACCCCGCAACTCAGCAAATCACACACAGCCTGGAACACACACACACACACACACACATGCAGTATAGAGCCAGCAATACAGCCACATTCACCGTCACACATCAAGGCATGCACCAGTAATACAACCAGTGTTACAGCCTCACACATACACACACACATACACTCGGATTCAAACTAGTTAAAATCGTAAATACGAGTAGAACGCTGTTGCGGCAAAGAATCGGTATATAAATGTTCTGAAATTACTGTCACAACTTATATATAATACTTTTTCTCTCTCTCTCTCTTTCTTTCATTCCCTCTCACCAACTGTCTCTCTTCCTCTCTACCACTTATCTCTCTCTCCCACTTTACCTCTTATCCTCTCTGTCTGTCTCTCTCACCTTCTCTGACTCTCACTATCTCCCTCTCACTGTCTCTCCTCCTGTACCCCTCACTCTCTGTTTCTCTCTCTCTCTCTCTCTCCATATCACCTTCTCTGTCTCACACTGTTTCTCAGTTTCTCTGTCAATCTCTCTCTCTCTCTCTCTCTCTCTCTCTCTCTCTCTCTCTGGCTCTCTTATTGAAGCTTGTTACGTGTTTTACATTATTGAGGTGTGGTTGGTCCTTAAGTGCTGCGCTTCTGCAGCACACACTTCATTCCCTCAACAAACAATTAAGTTTAAAAATTCACCAATCGAAATGTTGATAAAATGCCAGATCGCGTCATGCAGAGAATTTAGCGTATGGGCACTACACGAAAATTCGTTGGTGACTATCGACGCCATAGTAATATGTCAGTAAAACCGGACATCAACAATTAAAACGTTTGTATTTTACAATGACCAAATAAACACTGAAAATTCATTGCAAAGTTAATTTTCCCAATAAAATGTAATGTGTATTTGCATTTCAAGCATTGGAAAAATAGTTGTGCCACTACTATGTTGTTGTTTTCCAAAAGTTTTACAACTGTAACTTCCTTGAAAGATCTCTCTCGCCGTTATTATGTTTATTTCCAGCAATTTGTAAACACCATTTATTTGTGAGTTAATGGGCTTCAAATGACTTTAAATGAAGTTTTTCTAAAACTCATAAATTTTCTGTGGCTTTTGAATTTCGTTTTTAGAGTACCGCTTTAACACCAGTTTTTTTACACAGACCAAAATTTTCAAAGAAAATAGCTATTGAAGACTAGATATCACTGTTATTTAATATTCTTAAAGTAATATTTGCGTTCTAATATTTTGAAAACGAAAAATTAAGAAAATGTCACATAAATGACCTTTAAGCGGCGATAGATGACAGCTGGCCAGTGTATGTGGCATGTCCGAGTAGCTAGCCGAGACCAAAGGAAATAGAAAACTAATTAGGGAAAGTCCTTGCCGTTTTATAGCACCACTAGTTTAAAAATACGTTATTCAATTAGTTTATTTTGTAAACTGAATAATATAACATTTCAATTCGGTAATAAACAATACTACATCTTCTAAAATATTACATTTTTTGCATTTAATATCCATTGTCAAGTTAATTTTTATGTTCTCAAATGGTCTTTGGTTACTGTATTCATATTCTCCTCCGTTTCTTCACATTCCTTCTTCAATCTTCAATCGAGTGTTAGATTAACAATCGGAGGAAAAATATATGGTATTAAACTATTCCTCCAGTGGCAAAGTCATTGAAGTATTACGTCAAGTAAAGTAAATTTAGCTGACTTTGTTTGATAATTCGTGCAGAACTTCGTGAATGGTCTGTCATTCTCCAAGAAAGCTTCCAGAATCTGATTGAAAGTATGCCTGTGAGAGTAGAAGCTGTCATCAAGGCTAAGGGTAGGCAAACATCCTACTCGATTTCACCATTACCGATGGAGGGCGCCACAAACTGGTTAGCCTTTTTCAGCCTCCGGATACTTTCGATCACATAGTGTATATATACATAAATCAATTGCTATGCGCTCGCTAAAACTCGAAAACATCAAAATTTATTTGGCTAATTTTGGTTTTAAAATATTATTGGATGTCCAAACATTTGATTTTTATCCCGTCCTTCAACCACGTCACGGATTATCCAATCATTGTGTTACAGATAATTATGCCAACAAATAAGTACCACCTACAATTTTTTTCGGTCAGTACCGTTTGTGGCCTATCTCTATTAAATGTGATTATTAATTAAAACGTACTTACAATTGAAATAAAAATAATATATAAAATAATATTAAATAATAAATAAAATAATATTTTCGTCTGTATTAAATACAACACAGTTACAATACAGTTAATCAATTTAAAGCTTTGGGGACAATTTATATTTTTTGTCAATTTTTGCGGTGCGTAAATATACAAAGATGATGGTTTTCCGACGCGTGACCACGTGACGTATATTGTCCATGGGTGAAACAAGGAAACTCCAAGTTGATTCTTCAACTCCAACTTCTAACGTCTGCCCTTGCGATTTATTTATGGTCACCGAAATGCCAGACGCACCTTAAATTGTATACGATTAAAATCGAATGGTAAATCCGTTGGAATCATCGGTATAAATAGGGTCAAAACATCTTCTCCTTTGCATTTTCCCCTAATGATCGTTGCCTCGATGACATTAATCATTAGCTTTTTCACAGCCTGTCTCGTTTCATTGCAAAGTTGAAGTTGATTGATGTTATGCATCATGATTACGACGGATCCTACTTTTAATTCCAAATTGAGAGATAGAAGTCAAGGCAATTCCAGTGAATTAAAAAACTCTGTGGGATAGGTGACTACGTCATCCTTATTTATAACTATGTAAACTGATTTGAAAGAAAACAACTCCCCCGGAAGAAAATTCTGAATGGTCGCATTAAGATTATCGACATCTTTGTTTTTCGCAACAAATATTGATCGTTCACTCAACTAATTATGGATATTAAACTGCTGCACTATGTTCGGAAAAACGTGCTGTATGAGCTCCTCTTGAGTCTGTGAGTGATGTGATGAGTCTGTGATGTGACAGAAATCTGTGGGTTATGTGATGTATCCGGACGAGGTGTCAACTGCGACTTTACTATTTTCAATGCCTAATAACTGCTTCGCAAACACAATTGCAGTTGATCTTGTTGCAAAATTACTCGCATGTTGTTTGTCAATTGCAGTGTCTTCACGGGCCACCTCAAATTTGATGATTTTAGGCATGCGTTTAGTTCGTCAGTAATAGTTGTTTTGAGAATAACTGGAAGAGTCTGAAGAAAATCACCTGAGAACAAAATCATGGCTCCACCAAAAATGTTTTGGATGTCACGAAGATCTTTCAATGTTCTTTCCAGTGCCGCCAGCGACCTTTTATTGACCATCGTGCATTCGTCCCAAACGATAAATTTGCATAACTGTAGAATAACTGTTTTTGGCGATGTTGCAATGATTTGTATGTTCAATGATAATTTCAAAGCATAATGTGCAGTTCGTCCGCCTTCTATTAAAGACACAACTATCCCAGATGAAACCAACGATAGAGCTACTTCATTCTGCTCTGATCCTCGCCAACAGCAATGGAATTACAAATTTTTTTCCAGCCCCTCCGAGAGCATCAAGAAAGTACATTCTACCAGGTCCACTGTTCACAGTTTCTATGAAAGTATCGTACGCAATCTTTGTTGTTGATTCAATTTTAAACATTTGTATGAACTGTTTCGGCCAATGCTCGTATCATACAAATGTGTTCCATGTTCTCTATGTAACTCGTTGTTAAATGATTCGCGCAAAGGAAGACTGGATGCTGTCATGCCAAAATACTTTGTTTGCCATCAGTAAACACATGTCTTCTATCGTGATCAGTATCTCATTGTAAATTTCTGCAGCTATTTGTAGCGTAGAATTTAAAGTTTGACGGCGTACACATTACAGAACATCCTCAGACACGTCATCCCTATATTTCATTCACAAAAAATCCGGATTCGAGGGGAAACCTGTCAATATCATAACTGCAAACAATGTGCGAATTTGATGCGGCAATGAAGATATCATGGAAACCGTGAGAGTATCATCTCAATGCGAATCGTTCTCGTGCAACTGTAATAGTTGGCACACCTTACAGTAAGTCGCTCACAGATGTCCATCAATTGGTCTCAGTTGTTGAAACTATGTAGGACCACAAACATTCACCAACAACCGAAGATAATAACATTCGTCGCTACCTGCTTGTATTGTGTAGATGCGTCCTAAATCTTCAGAAGGAATACATTTGAATGTCCTTCAACTAGTGTTCCTTGTTTCGACGCTGAAACTGTTTTGATTATTCGTCCCATGTGTAATGGCGTGACATATAAGCGTACAGGAGTGCGAGTTAAAACACATGTTTGACAAACTGCGAAGAAACTTGCTAAAGTGTTCGACGGTGGACGTGCCACTGGCCGCCACGTTCTCTTGATTGAAATACTCGTTGTCCATTTGCTAGATGAACTGTCAAGTGGACTATTGTAGGGTGTCTTTCGTGGATCGTAAAGGAAAAGATGCTCCAAATGCTTTGTGCTACTCAGATAACGATCCATCTGATACTGAGATAGTTCATCATTTGCATGTGTAACAGCGAATTCGGCCATATAGCTACCTTTGATAACATATTTACACAGGTTATTGATTGGACTTAGTTAAAATATTCCACATTGATGTGAGCCTCAAAAGCTTTGGACAATATTGGCGAGTTTGGCACAATCCAACGATTGTCTACATTACCATTTTGTCCTTTTGCCTTCACAACTACCGATCGCCCATTGTTTGCAACAGATCGTCGACGTTACAAAGGGTATTCGTAATTTCCCGTAATGGTTTCAGCAATCAGGTCGCTTGGGTATTGTATGGAATACTTAGCGTCGACCATCCAAGGTAAATTGTTGTTGAAAACTCTGTAAGGTCCATCTTTCATGTATTTCGTGTCAACCGTATGTAGTTGTGTGTCAACTTTTTCATCAGGAACTTCAGTTCAAATGATGAAATCAGTTTCAGCTGGCCTTATTTTGTCAACTAGCCAGAATAAATTATGCGTATGTGGCAGAACACGCTTTTACCATTCAACAGAGTATATCCAACAGCTGACTTCGCCATACATAGGACGATTTATAATTAAATTCATCAGAGATATTAATTTTTGTTTAAAATCTCTGGTAGTAATGTTATGTCTTTCAAGTGGTGTTTGGCTGTGTAGCAATTCTTCTTTGATTTCGATCCATTATGGATTACAGGTGAAGGTAATGAATAGGTCTGGCCGGCCATATTGTCTATTATACGACATCGCATCTTGCACGTATTCTTGCACGAGGCCCGCACTTCCAATGTAAGTAGCCGGCAAAATTGTCATTCTTTCCAAGTTGTTTGCATTGCCATCGGCATAAATAGCATCGGGGAGATGAATGTTTTCTTCAAATCTAAGCTGCTGTTGATTCAAACGGAGGTATGTCAATTACTCAGTCTCAATTGTGCCATAGTACATGTCAACTGCAAATTGATGAAGACGTACAGATGAAATTATTTACTTCACCTTAACAGATCATGAGTCTGTATGAATAAAATTCATAGAACTAACTTTTTTATTAGTTTCAGCGTCTGCAATCACGATAAACGATTACACAGATGTATTGAATTAATTATTAATTTACTTTGAATAATCTATTTACTTGTAAATTCGTTAACCATTTTGATATTAAAATGGTATCCTTCTTCCTCTGCCAGAAGATTATTGAATATTGTAAGTCCTGTGCTTTTCTGACACACGATTTCAATTCATTTTTCCCACGATAGAGCGCAATATCTCTATATTGCAAAATTTCTCCGGCAATCGCAGTAGTCACTTCGTCGATTGTCGATGAATTAAACCTCCTTGTGTGCCCACCGGTAGGTGTTCTGTCAACTCTAATGACGATGATATAATATTATGGACTAATATCTGGATTTTCAAACTCTGCGTCGCGGCTCCGAGAGGCATGTGGTAGGGGCGTCGCAGTGATTATTAAAATGATCTTAAGATATTAAACATTAGAATTCTTGTGTCGCTTATGTCTAGAAAATAATATTGTACTACTATACAATATATTATTTGTAATAATGTATTTTACGAATCAATTGTGGATAATTGAACCTGGCAAGTTCTTCACCAATAAGCTTCTGTATGAGCTTTATCATCTCGGGCGGGGATATTTAATCTTTCTACTTCACAGATCAAGGGTTTCCGTGCCCATGCGAGCTATATCCAACCAGTTTCGTCGCAATCGAAACTGAACGTCGAAGAAAGATAGCGAGTCCCAGTTTCGAATATTAAACCCAGATTTAAATAAGTGTTGACTAAGAATCAAGCTCATCCTTTCCATTAATTTTTAGAAAAAGTTTGTCATAAAATTCATAAAATATGTTATTTGATTTTAAATCTAATTAAAATGGAGAAATAAAATAGCGTATTTTATCATTTACACATTTATGTTGTATCTTTAGCAGGGATATGCTAACCCTCGTACTTGAAACGTATTGTTACCAGGCGAGCCGTGGGAAGTGTGTATTGGTCAAGGGAGCCGTGGACGAACAAATTTGAAAACCCCTGGTGGAATACCTTGTAAGTGGGCATGAAATTGTCCTGCACAATACTCGTATGCATTGCGCCAAATGATTTCATTCCAAAACCACTGGTATATTTTTGAATGTAGACCAAGAAGTGTTTAGTATCATTTCTTATCCCAGAAAATAACGAACGTAATGGCTCTGGTGGTGGCCCCAATTAAGGCAATTTTACTTTTCCACCAACACAACATAATCCAGTAGATTCACCGATAAATTTAAACGCCTTACAATTGACAAATGCTGTTCATTTTCCCAATCGTTACTGATTTGTTGGCACAATAATCTACTTTCGGATCGAAGTTTAATGCAACTCGTCCCAGGATCACAGGAGCCCTGCATCTGCCGAAGTGCTCAATTTCGTTGTGTCGTGCTCGCTGATGTGTTTGATGTGTGCTCACTCGTTGCATTCTAAGCCTATCCGCATTATTTTCAGTCACTCTAGAACGCAATTCTGCCATAACCATGCAACTATTATTATTATTATTATTATTATTATTATTATTATTATTATTATTATTATTATTTTCTCTCGCTGATCATGAACACTGTTTGTACGTAAGGTAGCTCGCACATTTAATTGAATTCGACGACCTATTTTAAATCGTCTTCGCCTCGGCATTGTAAATAATCAATGTAAAGAAAGTTCTCGCGTACTTAGCGCTAAATAGTGTTACTATTACAAAGGATTAGAAAGAGATATTATGCTACACGAACAAATGACTGTCTTAAAATAAAAAAACGGGTAATGAATAATTAAATTATTTAATTAATACACTTTTCAACGTTTAGTTAATGACAGAGATTGATTTCTGAACGACGGAACGAACATGAATTTCTGAGGGAGTTTTGGTGGGAACGCGGAAGACAGCCCTGTGGTAGCATGATGTTATTTTCCAAAACTTGTCCTATAGTCGTGTGTGTGTCGTATATGTGTAAATATGGTAGGATTTTTAACATAAAACGTACGATATCGTGCACAGGTGTAGGAAACGAATATAATGAAAATTAATTTCAGAAAAATAGAACGAACATAAAATATTTGACAGTTTATACGGAAAAAGTAAATTGATGTTATTGCTATTTTCTCACCTTTTAAATCTTCCCTGGACTTACGCAAATATTTTAAAACCAAAATAAGCCAAAACAATCGAGCCGTTCTCAAGTTTTCGCGAGACTAACGAACAGCAATCGATTTATGTCGACATTTCGATTTATGGTGACATTTTCCGGTTGTATCTCAAACATGCTACAACTGGCAAGAGGCGCCTGTGATTGGTAGTTTCCATGGTTTCTTTCACCTACTTCACGCGAATGTCAGCTCAATGCGCCAGAAAATAGGCGCGATCTTTCCTTTCTCGTTCTCGTCCTCTCCCACTTACCCTTACACGACACAAGTCGGGAGACCGGCCTGGAGCTAAGAGCTTATCACGGCATAGGCGATACCCCTCAGAGGGCAGATATACGGAAAGAGAAAAAGACCGAAAGGGGACGTTTAAGTTGGCACCGCATCTAACATTCTAGCTTAAAAGTATACAACCACATATCGGGATAAAACTTCCTGGGATGTGCAACAACCTTGCTACACATATGCTACACGTATGGACCTGTTGCCGCAACACAATCAAATAACTCAACCCCTCATATTAGTGTAACTTGGCAACCGCACTCCCCTCCAGCAGCGGGTGGTTGTACGTGGCGTGTGGTGTTGTGGCAGGTGCTGGCGCCGCCGCCGTCGGGCCCGCGGCCGCCACCGCCCTCCGCCTCCGCTGCCGCCGCCGCCTCCGCCGCCCGACCCGCCTGCTGCTGGGCACGCCCGGGCGCCGCGTCGCGCCGCCGCCGCGCGGCGCCGGCTGGCACTTCCCGAGGCGGGACCTACTCTTGCGCCTCACCACCACGAGTCCTACTGGACGCTCAGCGCGCAGGTACGCTCTGCCCCCCCCTCACTCTCTTCGCCTCTCCGACATAAGATTGCAAATAATGATGATAAAAATAATTAATTATATAACTATAACTATAACTATAACTATTACTATTACTATTAATCATTGCATTACTACAATGCTTATATCGGAGTAATATTAAATATAATATTATATATTTATATATATATATATATATATATAATTATAGTAATATAATATAGCTATAGCGATAGTAATAGTAATAGTTAATGTATTAATTAGTAGTGATGCTCAGGCCAAAAGACCTACTTTTCCGTCTAACAATCCTCGACTTATTTTTTCCTCGCCCGCCTCATCTCTCTGCGCTTCTTTCTCTCTCAGACATTCACAGAGGAAGTCTTTCTGTATTAATAGATCACCCTCGCTCACCCTCGGCGAATACCAGGCTGCCGCGTATATGTATAGCACACAATATCTTTTTTAATTCAAATTGTGTTTTCAATCTCCGTGTATGAATTTCAAAGTTATTTCAAACATCCTTTTGTTATATTGTATCCTTTTAACCTCTGATATTATCTATTTATATGTTGCTTTAAATAGTGTTTGCTTTCCATTAATTACTTACCACTTATAAATTCTTGTAGGTTATATTATATTTACATTTTGTAGATTACATTACTTTTTTGATTAATTTGTGTATTTGTAACATGTGGTTAGGCACAAGTGTGGACCTGATAGCCCGAGCCTCGCTATATCAAAAATGGCTTATTATTATTATTATTATTATTATTATTATTATTATTATTATTATTATTATTATTATTATTTGCTTACGATTAGGCCAACTAGGACCACGCATGCATGCATCCATCCTGCATATACCGTTGCTCAGTAACATTATCGCGGTGGCAGGTGCATGTAACTTTAATTGGGGACCGGCATTTAGCCGAGTCTGATTTTTATTCCCCAGGGTTGTTAGCCCTGAAGATGGAAGATGATGATGATGATGATGATGATGATAATGAGGGGTGAAAGGATGACACAGTCAACATACACAAATACACACAACACAACCATGCCCGAGGCGGGCGATCTTTCGGTCCGAGATCGCTACGGCACTACTGCCTTAGCGATCTCGGCCACCGGATCGGCTATTATTATTATTATTATTATTATTATTATTATTATTATTATTATTATTATTATTATTATTACATTATTATTTTCAAATGACAGTTGTCTTCCGCGTCTCCACCACCAAGTTCTACCTGGATCTCAGAGTGCAAGTTCGCTCTCTTCCTCTCTGTCTCTCTCCTCGCTCTCTGGCCTGTTCACCGCTCTCCCTCTCTGGCCTTCTTCCAGATTTCTGTGAGTAAAACATGCACTTCGTTCTCGCCCACTCCAACAAGATATTAGGTAGGCTCTCTCTCTCCCCCTCTCCCCCTCTCTCCCTCTCTCCCTCTCTCTCTCTCTCTTGCTTCTCGGACCAGAAATTTCTTTTCCTTAAAATCGAGCTCACCTTCGCAAAATTTTTGGAAAGAGGCGTTTTATAACAAAAGGTGTTTTTATTCTTGATTTTCATTTTCTTACTGTGCACGTCAATTAATTATATTCATTATTTTCTAATAGGTAATATGTGAAAATTCCTTAAGTTGGATAATGTAATGGAAAAATATAAATTACGGATAGTAACGGATACGTAAGTCAAAGTGTTCAATATATACAGTTCAGTATATATTTTTATATTTCTCAACTAAAACACTTGTACCATATCAACACAATTAATACATCTGCATTAAATTAATACATGTAGAAGAAATATTACTATTAATTATAATTATTATAGTTCCTAAACCTTTATTTAAATAATTAAACATTACATTAACACATGTCTTAATGAGTAACACATTATAAAAATCTAAATTTTCAGATACAAACAAGACCATTTTTTCATAATATCAACAAAGTAATCCTAAAGCTTAGAAACCTTTCTCAGGGAATAAAAGTGTTCAAGTCAGGTTTTCCATTGTCACAGAACAGAGGCCATTCAGCAGCGATCTCAGTTCTTAACCACAAACCACCGTCACACAGTCGGTACAACACGGCGGGCTGCTGAAACAGAAAAGAGATTGTAAAAAAATGTCAACCAGCTGAAATTATTCAAATACATCGCATAAAAAAGAAAATGTAATGAAAGTTGCAACAGAAAAGTACTACATATCCCCAATAGGGAAAATAAAAAAAACCTTTGATATTCAGTACATATTCTTCACGTCTAATATAAAATGTGGGAAGTTTACGAATTTTGGTTCAACAACAATCTGTGAGTTAATAATTTTTATGTTATGTAAAAGAAGTGTCTTATACCTACCAAGATCTGTGCAAAAAAATTACACATGGATAGTCTAAACGTCCTCAACGTGAAAAAGAGACCAAACATAATCAAATCGAGAACAATCACTTTCACACAAATTGGGCACAAACACTTTCAGATTGAGAGCAAGCTCGAGACCAAACATTCTAAAATAGAAATCAAACACGTTAAATCGAGAAAAATTACTTTCCAAATGAGAACAACCGTTTATTTTCAGATCCACAGCATTAAAATGAAAAAAAAAATGCAATTGAATAAAAAATCAAGAAAGGAATGTGAATTGGGAATACATTTTTCAAACGCGCGAAACATAAAAATAACAATATAGATTAAATTATTTACACAATCAAAACAATTAAATTTAAAGCACCTGGTATGAATCTTTAAATATGAGCAATAAACTTTACAAAGTTATTGACATTTATTATATCAATATCATTATTTATAATTTTTCTAACTCGCGAAGCCAAAGTTCTGTTTGAGATATGTTTTTTCTTTCTTCGGCAGTTAATATATTTGGCCACTGCGTGGACAGATGTCTGTTAACAGCAGATTTAAAAGATGATTAGGCAAGTTCAATTGGATTGAACGTAGGACTCTAAGGACCTAATCTCAAAAGTCGATGTTCGATAAATTCTTCCACCATAAATATTTCTTCATTGCCAAAATGACAAGAAACGTTCTCTATTACTAGTACCACGGTCGCTTGGTAGATATTTTCAGCAAAGCGAAAAAAATTTTTTGCTAGGTTTAGTGCTAAATGCACTCTATGAGATGATTTAAAAGCCATATGTCTCTGTTCTTTTGTTTTTTCAAAAATTACAAAAAGGTTCACTTTTTTACTTATCTTTCACGTCGTTAATATTTACATTAGTGGTAATTTGTTCACATTATTGCGTTTAAGAGTATCAGTGCTTCAAACAATGTTATATAATGTTTCTCGAAACTCAAAAGTTTTCTGTGGACATGAGCTCAAAATTCCGCATTTTCAGAATCGCTCAAACGCACTTTCTCAAAAACGGTTCCAAATGTTTTCTTCAATTTTTTCTTGAGGATAGTATACAATTTTTTTTTAATTTCTCTCATGCCATTAATATGCATGTTTCCGGCAATTTATATAAGTAATTGTATTTGAGAGTGAAAGTGCTTGAAATAACCTCCAATTAAGTTTTTCGAAAACCCTAAAGATTTCGGTGAAAAATAACTTACATTTCTTATTAACAGAAACGCTTAAACATTATTCTTTTTAAAAAACTTTCAATGTAAATTGCCATTTAATACGAGGTTTACTCTTCTTTAATATTCTTACAGTTTTAATGTGGTTCTCTTATTAAGAAACCGAAAAATTGAGAAAATTTCAAAATAATGTACTGGGCGGGGATAGATAACAGCTGGCAATAGTATGCGAAAAGTCCAAATAGCTAGCCTACACGAAAGAAAATAGAAACCTAGTACGAGTAATTCTGTGCCATTCTTTGCACCATTAGTTTAATATAAGGCGTAATTAATCAATTTGAAAAAGCTGTCCGGAACAACTAAATAAAACACAATGCACATAACCTGTTTTGACAACTAATCATTGCCTGTTTACTTCTCGTTTGGAAATTGTTTGGACTCATTATGAAAGTGATACGTCTGAATTTGAGTGTGATTCGTCTGAATGTGAACGAGTTTGTTCCAAATATGAGAGTGCTTGTTTTTATTTTGAATGAGCTGAGTCTTATTTTGAAGTTGAAAGGGTGTAGAGGACTACCGCATTAACACCTGCCATGCAATGTAACTTAAAACATGTACTACATATCTTATTTTAGGATGACTTTAAAGAACAGATTTCTGAACAAAACAAAAATTCTTCCGAATAGTTATGCATGAGTAGAAGGGAAGAAATACTTACAAGGCCTTGCTTGCTCTTTCCTTTTATAGCTTTACAAACGTCCTCGTGAATCTGTCTTTGACGTCCTACGGCCTGAAATTCAAGTAATAAATGTGAGAGTGTGTAACACATTCAACATGGAACTAGTCTAGAAATAGCTGCTTACCATAGCCATACAAGCGCTTTTGCATTGGTGATCTCCTTCAGGATCACAACCAAATGTACCGCTTTTCAATGGAATATTTATGAAAATTCCATTCTCTGACGGGCGAATGTCTGTAATTACAGCACAATTGCATGTTCCTTGGAGATGATATCTGAAAAAAACATAAAATCATTTAGACGAGTCACTGTGTGTGAACAAGTATCTTTCAGACGCGATCTCTTTTGAATCTCTTCAGAATCTCTTTTGATTTTTAATTATGAATTTATGAACCTTAGTATGTAAAATTGAGCAGTGTGTCTTTAAATATTGTGGTTGGACTTATTTTAAGACGCCATGAGAGATGACGGATGATAACATGGTGTAGACACCACTATCTTTGCAACCCTTGATCTGATATAATCCATATGTCACTAAGCAACTTTTGTGAAATAGTAACTTGGAAAGTGAAATAGTTTACAAGTTAAAGAGATCAAATATTTCTCATTAGAAATAGCAGGCTTGGTATAATTCATAAGATTTGAATTGGCGGAATACAATATCAAAATATCGCAGAAAGTGCATGGATGTTAATTCTTGTGGAAAACAACTAACATAAAACAACACAAAAT